TGATTTCTTTTTTTTTACTTCATTGTTAGCGAGGTAATGAAACATCGTACTCAAATTAATCAGTATAGACGGGTATTCGATAGTAATATATCTCGATTTTTACTTGTAACTTAATTGCCGTTTACAAAGTGGCCATTGAGTGACTATTTTGATGCCGTGACATTAACCTTGTGAATAGATAAATGGAAATCTGAAGGAACAAGTTAACAATGAGAATTTAGAGAAAATCAGATTGGCAAAGGTAAGAAATGGAAACTTTCAAGATAATCAGGAGACAACAATGTTATTTTATATCATAAAACAATTAGTGAGAAATTAGTTGATTCTAGGGTAGTGTTAAGTCTTGTATTTTTCTTGTTTTGAAGAAACTTTGATCAATAGGGTTCTCAGCGATGATAAAAAAATAATTATCTCATATGATAATTTTGTCACACAATCAGTTTACATATGATATCAAATGAGATAAAACTGTTTCACATGAACAAAAGCTTTGTTTTAAATCACATAAATGCATGTTTTTGATTTCTGACGGTTTAAGTAGTTATAATTTCCCAGTATTTGAACAGAAATAACTTTTGAGACGCTAAATTATATCAAGATATAATCATGATTGAATATCATCATGATATTCTTTGTGAATTCGATTATGGTTAGAATTGTTTTGCGATAATAATCTCTAAATGATATAATTAACTATTGAAAGTGAAAGTATATTCGTTGGATTAAATAACACGTTAATATCAGTAGACAATGTCAGATTGACAAGATTTTCATATCGATTAACCTCATCTAAATGAAAATGCTATCTAGCTAGCAAATCAAACATCTTGTTTTATGCTGCTTTGAACTTTCCGTCTACACAGTATATGACTTATTCCAATACCTTGTGTAACATTCAGTTTATTTTTCTATGGATCAGTCTCACATTTGTTCTAACTTTTCTATAGCAATTGACTTTTAGTAATATCAAGTTGCAGATTTAATCAAGAAGATGTGATTGATGATAAAATTTATCGATGTCATATGTTCAAAAGTATTTGGGCTATTGAGCATGAAGCTTAAAAGGAAATATCTCAAGGCTTAAATTGATTTAACAAACGAATTCACATCGATGTTTCATAATCACCCACTACCTTATTGTTTCTACCTTCATTAATGGTATCATTGATTCAGCTGTAGGCTTAATAATTATTTTGATAAATTTCCTCTGAATTCAACTGGTTTCTTGATCTTTTCTTAAATGATAGTTTAACGCTACAACATATATTATTAATCCATTATCAAAAAGAAATTTAATGATTATTCTAAACGTACAAAAACTAACAATAACATTGGCAAAAATAACTGCATTTGTTCGAAAAATGGTTTTACCGATTGAGTAAAATCTATAAGAATATAGATATTTATTATTTGTGTGTCTGATGACTCATCCATGGTATATGGTTTCACTTTATTTTCATCTTCATTATTAGAGCGAGACTGTGCCACTTTTCTGAGCTTCAATCATTTTCAGTGATTTTCTTACTATTGAATTAATGTCAAAATTATTTGCCACAATAGAATTAGTTGATAGAGTAGTAAAAATATATAGAAGATATATATTCATCAAGTATAGTAACATTTGGATTTATCGAAAAATTAGTATTTAATTATTTTGTTCATAGTAAGAGAGTATTTTTTGCGAGATCAATTTTGTTTTGCAGAATAAATTCATTGTTTGTCTTAATTTCTTTCTTTTGGAACTCATTAATTTATACGCATCCTAAAGTTAGTCAACAAGATAAATTTTAACAAAGAGACATTATAAAGTTGCTACTTTTCAATTCAAATTATTATGACAGTTTACAATAAATTGTAGTTGGATCAGTTCGATCATGAGAAATGATCGCGTCAAGACATTTCAAACATAAATACTCATTTTGAGGACTTTTCATAAAACTTTCTGAAAAAATCTCGACGGCACAATATTTCTCAAACTGGCTTTAGTCAAAATTCGTACAGCTCTTTACTGTGCAAGATATCTTAAGTTGAGCCAAATTTGACGAACTCGATAGAATACATAGGGTTTTGGCTTATAGTGGGTAGTTATGATAAAATCCGCATATGAAAGTTAAAACACATGATAGAATGAGAACATTTCGTCTATCTTTTCAGATAAGAGAGAATGTCTATGATAAGATTTTAGCAGACGCTAACCAGATTGTAAATGTTGAATGCGTCTAAAGGAAAAGAAAAAAGGTGATATTCTATTTGAACAAAGTAAGAAAGTCAGTAAAAGCGTACTATAATCTACACCAATGTAGTTGTGTTTGACTAAAACAGGTATTGAAGATGCATGGGGTTTAAAATGACCGGAAAAAATTGTTATATGATTGTTGAAAAAGCCACATGTTGAATGCTAGCTTGAGACTGGTCATCCTCTTTTATCTCGGCCATTTAATAAAAGAAAAACGAAAGAATGTCACTCGTAATGCATAGCAAATTTCATCGAATTCTGTGTTTTGATGCCTTGGACAGACCGACGAGCATACAGACAAACGTATATCGTTTAACAATCGGCATAGAAAATTTCTTTTTGGAAAATGAAACAAAATACAGAGATAAATAAAACATGTTGCTATCAAGAAAATAATACATAACAATAAAGAGTCTAATACAAGTTAATGAATATTAGAACTAGAGCAAATACTGATACCAAATTCGAAGTTTCCATCGAAAGTAATTCTTGTACATAGTTTTCAACGGCTAATAAAAGTTATTGCTAGGAGTCTAGTCTATACTAGTTTCTGATACCAGTATTTCGAAAATCTAACAGTAAAATAATAGAGAAATTATTTAAATACAGTTGTTATCTTAACGATGGAAACCCCTTACTAACTGAGTTTACGTTGTAAAATTTTTAGCATCATCATATATGTTTTGGTCATTCGATTCAAATTATAATGATCTACATAAAGTATACAACGGTATGGGAGTGAATAATCCAATATTGTTTCGCCTAGATATACTGGTTATGGATGAGCTCTCTCTGTTAATTCATCCAACTCACAATATGTTCTCGTTCCAACATATAAAAATATGGCATACACAAGTTTTACTTGAGAAATATATGCTTATCCTATTAGTGTGGGTAAATGAAAGAAAACTAAATGAGATTTCTTTTCATACAGAAAAATCACAAGTTTTCTCTTTTTAGACAGTTATGATATTGTGATGATTAGTATGTGTCAAGAGGATACTAAAAATAAATGTTTGTACTTGTTGATTTTTCAGATTGTTACTGTTTTTGCATTCTATGGAAATTATTGTTCAAGTACAATGATAGCTCCAGCTAAATAATGGCATCATTTTGGTTTTGTTTGCACATACATCATCAAGTCCATATGAAGCCACTTCTGGTTTCATAACCATTGGTAGAAATTATAATTCACAAAGGGCAACAGCTTATGGGTTCTGAAACATATTATTGATTTGTTAATGGTTCATTTTATGATTCAGGTCCAAATGGAATCAATAAAGTATGTTAATAAAAGAAACATAATGCCCTCATCGATTGTTTTTACAAATTTTCCTCATTTACATAATCTAGTTTAAGTCTAATTTGAACTAATTCTTTTTTTTTACGAATGACATGTCTTATCTGGTTTTTTTATAATAGACCCTATTTGATGTGATATGAACAACTAATTGAGTGAATCAAGGCATTTTATGGAGATGTACAATATTTTCAAGCAGCTGGTTTCAGTTTTTTAGGATTTTATTATCGATCATATTCAGATGCTCCCTGAATATAAAAATCATCACCAACAATTGGCAATGGAACAATCATTGATCTTTCATCTGAGTAAGTAAAAATCGGATGAATATGAAAGACAATAACTTTTAGGAAAGTGAAAACTAGTCATTATCAGGGTGGCTTTTACCAATATTAAGTCTTTCTTCATCATACAGGATCCATCGATGCATATTGGAGTACTACTTATATAATCGAAGTCATTGGATCAATATTTCCTCTTGGTGTGTATTGTTACTTCAGATAGTTTCTACAAATGGTGGTCATCTTTGGGTAAGTGAAACTCCGATTGCATCAACAGTTCCTATTTTTTTATTCTTTATCAGCAATGGTTAACACTACCACATTTGAGAATTCATTGTTAGATCAATATTATGAAGTGAACTGCATTATTAAAGCACAATTCTATGGTATGATGAGTGCATTAAGAACGTATACAAGAGGATTTAATGCTATCGAGGATGTGGATGTAGATATTCTTTTCTTACACACCCTTTCAAATATATCTCCACAACCTTTTCCAATGTAAAAAGTCCGACAAATAACTATAGCGAGAAAATTTAAAACATTTGGCTCTGTTAAGCTATGGAGGCAAGTTTTGGCTATATTTGACTTCAACCCGAAATCCGTATCACTGAGTTTGCAGCAGTTAACTTTGCAGGATGGGCAGCTCATTTTTAAACTGCATTATTGAGATAAGTGTTGAACAACTCAATACTTTGCGCTTAAGAAAGTGAACTTTCTTCAGTAAGAGACATGCTCCCTCAAAGTATTAGCAGAAGCAGTTAAGTGATTTATCAAACTCAATGATCGACCTAGGGGCATTATCTATTTATTGATCTACAAAAACATAATCGATCGCATGAAACTTTAGTAAAGAAAAAAAATCCATATTATTTAAATTCATTATTCATCAATTAATCTTATTGTATTATGACTACTTATTGTTGATTATGACTCAATCATAAACGCATACTTGCATGAAATCTATATAGAATTTCGATTAAATATTTTTCTGCTTTTGTTACTGAATGATTCAGTGAGCATAAAATTATTTATGTTAGAATTCTTAAAGAAAAGTTGAACTTTCTGTAAGATTTGATGTGTTTTGATAAGGCATAGATAAATTATTAAAGTTTCAAAATTTTTATCTATAAAATTAACAAAAATACTATATTTGTTTGTAACACAAAAGAAAGTAAACAATTTAATCTAAATGTACAATCATTTTTAGTACATATTGTTGAGCATCTTGCATTTCTATTGATAATTTTTGATATTTAGTTGTTAATATTGTTAATTCATTTTTTAATTTTGTATTTTCAGCAGTCAATTCAATATTTTTTGTTTGTAAATCTTGAATAGAAAACGATTCATTATTTTTATTTATTATTTGTTTTTCTTGTATATTAAATGATGTTCGCATTGAATCGAGTTCTAATTTATATTGATGTAATAATGATGATGATTTTTCTATTTCATTACAAAGCTTACATATTTGTTCATTGTGTGTTTTTTTTAATTGAACTATTTCTTGTTCGTATTCTTCTTTTTGTTTAATAAGAACATGTGAAAAATCACGTTTAAAACGGTTGATGGTATCATGACCCAGTTCAGATTTTGCTATACGCATAGTACTAGAAGATACTTTTGAATTGCTATTCATCTTAAAAAAATAGAGATTTTTTAGAATTTCATATGAAAAAAAAAATGATTTTATTGTTTGAGCAACCTTTAACAAAAATCGGAAACCTTCTGTTAAATGTGCTCTGCTGATTTCAATGATTTTCGTTCCTATAGATACTACCTCAAGATCTCTTCGAGATATAGACCCTTTTCCACGAGTATCATGTTTTGAAAGCTTTATATCTTCAAGAGATTTTGATCAAAATTTCTAAATTTTTTAATGAAAATTAGTCTTGTTGAGTTCTCTTTCTGCTCAAAGTTTCAGATGTAATTCTGAGATAAGGTGATCATGCTTATTTGCATCTATACCTAAACGAATATTATGAAACATAATTAAGAAAAATAAAATGAGTCCTACAAATTTCAAATATTCACAAAGGAAAATCTATATCATGAATGAATCAAAGTGAATGCTGTTCGGAATTCATTGATATATTTTTTTCTGAAATAATTTTAATCAAGATGTTAAAATTTCTGCATAACATTGAGCTAGATAAATAACAAAAAATTAATTCATTTACACGATTTTAATGAAGTTTCGTTTCATCATTCGCTTAAAACATTAACATCAAGAGAAACAATCGAATCACTTCATACTTATTTTAAATATAAATTATTTTGTCTATTAACACTAGATGATCAGAAAATAATTAATTAATATTTACATGCACAATATAATGAGCTGAAAGTATTCAACTATCGATAATATCGTTATCTATGATATAGATGAATATAATGATAAAATAATTTTCTTTAACATTGGAAATGGGTATTTTATGAAACGAATGAACGAGAGATATTGTGTCACTAAGAATGGTGTAAACTAGCTGTTCGTTTATTGGAAAAGTATAGAAGACAGGAGGAGATCGAAATTTTTCTATTGGTTGATGGAAAGAAAAAAAACATTTGACTACTATATTTAAAAGGTTTATCATTGCAAAATGTGATCAATTTATTGAAAAAAGAATTTATTTCTCGCTATTATTTTACTTAGTGAATAATTCGAACAGATCTCTTCTTTAGAGTCTTGCATCCGGTTAGATCAGTAAACCCAACATTGTCACCACTAGATATGTTGATCACATACGCGGAAACGATAGTGGATAGAAATCATTCAAAATATCCAACATAGAAAAAAACTTATTGGACTAATCTATCTGACCGATAGAGAATTCTACTCCTCTTGATTAAGAAAAGCCTTTTTTACACGGCTTATGACTAATAACATATTACAGTCATTAATATATATATATCTACTGTCATCGTTTACTAATAATATTTCTTCAAGTGAATCTGAAACAGACATTGACTGGACCTAACTTTTGAACTATTTACAATCTTTCGTTCCAATTCGGACAACTTTTGTTGCTCTCGTCTAGTTCCCGATTGCAAAATGTATACGAAAACAGATCTAAAAATTTTCTCACAATATGTTTTACCTTCACGCACACTTCCATGAAATTGCTAAGGAAAGATAATGAAATACTCTAAATAAAATATAAGGCTTCAATATCAATTATTTAAAAAGTATCGTGAGAGCCAGTGATCCAATAATTTTTTTTTTCTAAACGTTTCTAAATTATATTTCATTTTTCGAGATATAAAACAACAAAGAAAATCATGACTGTTAATCAGTTGTATAACTTTTTCATCGATGAAAAATCATATCGAACAAAAACTTCGTGCAAATATTGGATTGAACGTAGCTTTTCTCCATGTTTTCAGTTACTTCGTCATATGATTTATCATTTGTAAATGAATTCTTTTAGAAAAACAAAATCAATTTTCACTTCTGTGACAATCAGTAGCTCAATCATGATCGAACCGCACCTGATCTCATGCGCCGATTGTGATGTCCAGTCCTCAATCTGGTCGTAGAACACTAGTAAATTATTTCATACAAACTTATACAACAACAGCATGTAACCATATTGTGAACCCGTTATATTTGAAGTTAATTTACCCAACTATTAATTTATTTACTTGTAGTTAGAAGAAAACGTTTATCCTTATACGTTTGTATATCAATGTTATTTCACTTTATACTAGCTACTGACTAGCGTCTATTTTTCTTTTCTTTTATGATATTCGATGAATTGCTATGCACAGAGATACCAACATCTGAACGAATATGATATATAGAACAATATAGCTTCTGTTAGAGTTAATATATTATTAATATCTCTAAAATTTTAATATATGTATATATAATTCTCTTAAGAAACTCCATAGTCAATCATTATTATTATCATCGTTCTCTACATTAAATACAGAAAAAATATCGAATACAAAAAGAAAAAAAAAATACAATCAAATATGAAGCATACTAATAATTTTTTCAATTCTTTGTATAGCAGCGTCAAACATAGATATTTTAATTGTAAATAAATCGGGATCATCAATTGAACGAAGACGTTCTAATTGTTCCATAAATTCTTGTCCTATAGCTGAACATTTCAATTCACGTATTCTTATTTGTGCATCACGATCAAATGATTCATTATCTAATTTTGCACTTAAAATTTGTGTTTGTGATCGTTTTAACATTGATGTTGGTAATTGTTGTTGTTGATAATGATGATGATTATTATTATTATGATGTGGTAAACGACGTGGTGATCGAGTAACTTCATCATTTATTGCTAAGACTGTAGTCGAACGAGCAAAGCGAAATTCATTGGATGGTGGTAGTAGGGGTGGCGGTACCGGTGGTGGTGGCATTTGAGATTTAGCTATTGCTTCATTTATATTTTCTGTTGAAGGTACCATTGTATTACTTTTATCACCAAATAACTAAGAGACAAAAAAAAATTGATTAGATTAGTTGAAGAATATATTAAACTTACATCAAGAATACGTGTTGTTTGTCGTTGATTACGATTTGTTGGTCGAACAACATTTAATACTTCATTTTGATCTAATCTTTCAGGAACAAATTGTCTTTCATTTAAATTTTCAGCTAATGGTTCACCAGGCTATATTTAAAATTGATAGCAAAAAAAAACAGTTAGTGTAATGCATTTGTGATTAAAATATCAAAACGTGTGCTTTGATTTATGATTTTTAACCGATCGAGATATCTGTGATGAAAGATGTTATTCGTAATAATATTGACTAAACTGAATTATGAAGTATTGAAGATTTACTAGTAGATTTTTTTGTTTTATGTATCAAAAACATAATGTTGTCGAAAGTTGTTTCTCTTTCAGATTATCTCTATGTGACAAAAAAAAAGATTCACTATCATTAAATAAATTTCTACTATTCTCTAGAACTTTAGTGTTTCATAATTCAATTTAGTCAAAATTTGGAACTTAGATATAATTGTGCCCATAATCGAGTTTCTTAAATAGTTATGCTTAATATCCGAAATATTTAGAATAACAAGGAATCGATTTTTCAAATAATAATAACAACAGCTTATTTTTTTCACATACATTTGATCATGCTTCGAGATGATACCTTTCTCGTTATATTCAGTTTTTCTTTAAAACAATCCTACAGAAGGTTTTATCTTCTTGCGTTAAGTCTGTGAGAGATGTCCAAATTTTCTTCAGTCACCTCTATCTACATGTCCAACTTAATCGCTATTACTTTAGGGCTATGTGAATCATGCCGATTCGAATGAGTCATGAGTACTCTGAAAAGCGTTCGGGCCTTGGGCTCATTGCTGTGGAAACAGTACATTTATATGGTATTGTGTTAATCACTGTCTTAATCTATTCATGAAAACTGATTTTCGAATTTCAATCTGAAACTCAGCACAGAGACAGACTTGAACAAGAATATGGAGTTATATATGAACGATGTAAAAAAAAACATATTTTTGCCGATTGACTATTCTCATTAAGGTGTGTTTCTATGCAAAGTTTCAAATCTGAATGCTTTTCAAGATATTCATATATCATTAGTAATAATCGTCATGCTTATAGTTCTGACTGAAAAAAATTTAAGTAGTCAATAGACTTGCACGATTAATAGATTCTATTTCTCTCCGATATTCATTGTAGAACATAGAAAACCTACATAAAGTCGAACATATTTATATAACCAAATACCAAATGGAACATCGATATGTTTTAAAAGAATTTCATCAACTTCAGTTCGTTCAGGAACAACTAAAAATATACACATATAGTAAAAAAACAAAATGAAATAAAATAAGAATATACTAAGTCCTGGTCCTGTATAACCAATGCGTCGTTTTTCTTCCATTAAATGTCGATAATCATAACCAAGACGACTAAATAACGAAATTTCAAATTTTAATTAATTAAATTTAAAAAACAAAAAATCTTACTCGCATGCTTGTTTGATTGAATAATTTCCTGGTACAGCATTTTCATCACCATATTGTTCTTGTTGTTTACTAAAGATACGAAAAAAAAAAACAAAAACAACTGGATCATTTTTCATATCTAATATATTTCTTACTGAACATTCGATGGACGTGAAATACCAGTTAATGTACGACGAGCAGCTGATGGCATCGGTGTATGAGCTTGATTACGTGGAAAAATTGATCTAGAAATTAACTATGAAGATAAAATATTGATTAAATTTTAATCATTACGGTCGTGATTGAACAGGTGGATCACGTGTTGAACTCATTGTTGGACGACTTGTTTGACGATGAGTTGTTCTATGAATGAAATACATAAAAGAATTTCAAAATATTCAAGATCTAAGAACAGAAGATACTACAAAAAAAGTTACAATTTGTCAAATGCACTAATCTCATTAAAAACTTTATTCACGTTTCTATTAGTCATCAAATAAACATTGGCTCGGTTGAAAAATGATTTGATACCGAAATAGATTGTCTTATCAGTTTATTTTGTTTGAAAGTATTTTAATTTTCGATAGACACAACAACATTTTCACAAGGAGAAACATCAGCTTAAGGACTACTGAAGCAGATGAATATCTTACTTTGCTTGTTGATATTGAACTGGTGATGGTTGACTAAAATATGACAAAAAAAGTTCAAAATTGTATGCAAAAACAAAAAACCCGTAATAATATTTACGGTGCAGCTCGTCGAATTAGATGCTGCGGATGAGATGAAGCCATCGGTGGTCGAAGACCACTTGGTGCAGGTGGTCGTAGACCACTTAAAAAAGAAATACAACAATTCATAATCAACTTGTAAACAAAGACTGATAACGAGATGTTATATCACTAACAAACAAAAGACATACCTCGAACGAACGGCAGACGGTGGACGAAGCATAATTAGAAAAATGTCACTTGAGATTAATGATCGATCGAACGAAACTATGTCGAAACAAAGGTCTTTGTCCCATTGAATAACGCGCGTGAAAATTAATCAAAAAATCTTTTCAATATATGAAATTTTCTTTTATTTCAATTATTAATACATGTTTAATTTGAAATTTTTGTAAAAATTAATTAAATTTTTATTATATAGATGTCCCTATGTTAGAAAATCTATAGAGGTATTGTTATAGTAACCGAGCGCAAAACTTTCCTAGGGATTAAACAATCGAAAAAAAATCTCGTATTAACAATAACGAGATGTCTCAATCAATTGATTTTCGTATAAATGATTTTATAAATGAATATCTCGATTATAAAGGTTATACAAATACAGTTGATACATTTTCAAAAGAACGAGAAAATCGTAAAGAACCAATTAATAAAATAGTTAAAGGAAATTTATATGAAAAAGAAAAAGAAAAATATCAAACTATCAAAGTATATTATCATTGAATATATATATATATAGATTTGTTTTTCTTTTCTTTTTGTATCATTAGGAAAATTTATTAAAATATCTAAATAATGGAAATCGAGAAGAATTTTTTCAACTTTGGTCTGAACATATCCCATTAAATATTATTGATAATGATCCATCATTAAAATCACTTGAATTTTTAATTTATGCTCATTTTGCTATTTATTATTTACGTTCAAATATATCAAATAAAGTATTTTATTTCGATTTATTTTTTTAATATATATGTTTATGATTATTAAGAATGAAAAACTAGCTCAAGAAAATATGTACGAATTTAAACTATATATCGAATCCATTAAAGGTCAAGCTATATCACAAACAAGTGATATATTATCTTTATTTGCTTTACCATATGTTACAGAACCAGAAAAAAATGCTTCGTTTCAAGAATTATTTTCAGTTTGTTTTTGAATTCTTTTTCTTATTTGTTTATTTTTTTTTTTGAATTAGGATAAATGGTCTATACAATTACATACAAAAGTATCAAATTTTCTTGATTGGATTTTTTCCAATCGACCATTACCAAGTCTTCTTGAATTATTAGAAAATGGTGAACGTGCATCACATTTATTATCACAAATAAATAATGAAAATGAAGAACTTAAATATCGAAATAGAGAAACAAATAGACAAATTAAACATATAAGTACAGATTATTGTAATTTAATTAGTAAGTTACATTCAAATAAATTATGTTCTTTCTACTTGTTATTGTTTGAAAGGTATTACAATGGAATTAGTTGAAACATTACAACAAGCTGTTGTAGGACGAACTATTACAAATAAATATATTGATAATGTATGTGCACGACTTGGTCTAGCACGAATACATGAATCCATGTTTACTATGCCAGATTCTGCTCGATTAGGGTAATAATATATTGTCGTAGAAAATTTTTGAAATATCAATCAATAGGATATTCAAATAAAATATTCTCGTAATAATCACTCATAGATTAGCCATTCTATCTCTATAATATTTTATTAGTATTCAAGTGAAACATTTACATATTCGACAATATGTTTAATAAGAAAAAAAAAAAAGAAGCTGATTGAATAATTCGTTTTTATTGAAATCAATATTCTTTTTATTATAGAATGGATGATCCATTAACAGAAAAATTAGATTATAGTAAAATAAAACGAGATATTGTACATATATCAACTAGTTCACGTGAAAAAGCACTTTTACTTCAAGCACTTCGTTGGAAATTAACAAAAGCTAAAACAGATTTTAAACGTGAAAAAACACTTGAATGTTTTATTGGTTGTGATTTACTTGGTTGTCGTTCTGATCTTGATCAACAAACAAAAATTATTAAACAATTATCATCAACAACTGGTGGTGATACATATTATGTTAAAGAAGAATGGGCTCGTTTAATTAATACAATTGCTTCATTAAGAAAAGGTAATAGAAAAATATAATTTTTATTGATTTTTTTTCTAAATGAAAATTAAATTTAAAAAAAAGGTCGAAATTATTTATCACCAAATGAATCATTAATTATTTGTATGCAAAAAGCAGCTATGTCAGAAACATCAGATACACTTATTAAACAACATTTATTAGCAGCATTACAAAAACTTAGTCTTAAGTATAGAAATATTTATAATGAAGATTATTGTTTTAAATTTTATTTTTTGGTTTTTTTTTTTAGACGATCTGTACAATCTTTACTTATCAATCAAAATGCAATTAAATGGTTAATACCATTATTAAGCAAAACAGATCGTCTATCTGATTATACTCTTGGTAAATATTTTTCTTGTGTTAGTTTTTATGTTAACATATCATAATAGATATTGCAAATAATTTGAAAATTTCAATATGTTTTGTCTTTTTTCGTTTTGATGTTTTTTCGAGATTTCAATTTTTCTAATTTTTTTTGTATTGATATATATATCTAGAGTATGGAGTTGCTTTATTGATGAATTTATGTTTACGTACAAATGGTCGTAAAAAATGTACTGCTATAGCTGAACAAGCTATAACTGTACTTTCAGCTCTATTAACTCATCCAAATCATGAAGTATATTGTCTATTTATAATATATATTTATCAAAAATATATTTTATATAAATAGACTCGACCATATGTGAATTCTTCATTATATTCAATATTAACTTTAAAATCTATACGTGATAAAGCTATGCAACTTGTAAGTTGTTTTTATTTTCATTTAAATATTAAATTTTATAGATAAATTTTTGTATAAATAGAATCTTGATAATCGTCTTCGATCTATTATTCAAACAGAAAAAACAAATTCTGAAACAAAAGGTCAATTAGAATTTTTACTTAATCTTCTATATAAAGGTGGTGATCAAGATAATCGACAAACATCAGATAATGAACAAGATAATGATGATGTATAATTTAATATTTAAAATAACTTTTTAATTGAAAATTTTCTTTTTTTTTTGTTTTAATTATATAGGAAGATCAAGATATTATGGAAGCTGATTTAGATCTTGGTGATAAATTACGTCCATCAGATAAAGAATTAAGTGGTGAAAAATTAATTATTGAACATTATGCTTCTCAAAAAATAACAAATTTTCAAACATCTTATAATAATATATTACAAAGTTCATCAACAAATGATCCTGTTCTTCATCGACCAATAACACCTGGTCAATTACGTTATTCAAAAGTTGCACATACAATTGATTCTTTTGCAAATAATCTTTCTATTGGTGATATACATAATAATCATAATGATGAATATGAAAATAAAATATTGACAAGTTCAACAAAAAGATCTTCATCAGTTAATAGTACACCAATAATACCAAATGATCAAGAAAAAGATATAAATAATGATTTTGATCAATCAACAAATATACAAAAACCACCAACACCTATGAAATATTCATTTAGTGAACCACATCGATCTAATTCAAATGCATCTATGCATTCATCAGTATCATCTGTTATTGAATTAAATAATGAAAATATAAATAAACAATCTTAATATATGTTTTATTTTATTGATGATAACAATACATCTATTATGTAGTATTTAAACCATAGCTGAACGAATAACGTCTTTACAAAGTTCTTCTCGTACTTTTCGATTATCTAATTTTTCTTGTCTTTGTTCACGTTGTTGTGCATGCAAAGCTAATTGGTTTTTAATATCATTATTTACTCCACTTAGCTTTTTATTCATACGAGCAGTAACCTTGTAGAAAAGAAATATGTTAAATAATTGAAAATATTTTATTTCAACTTTTTTTTTTTTCTAATATTACTTCGATTTTTTGAGCAAGAGTTACTTCATATGGTCGACTAACAAAACTTGATACTTTGCCTGGATTTTTTGAACCAATACGACCAACACGACCAGTACGATGAATATAATCCGACATAAAACGTGGAAAATCAAATTGAATTACATGTTCAACCTAAATAAATAAACTATTAAATATTTAAAGAAAAAAGTATTATAAAATCTTACCCAATAAGTATCAACACCGCGTGAAATAATATCAGTAGCACACATTATATTATTCTCACCATTTCGAAATTGTTCGAGACTTTTTGTACGTTTCTACGAAATAATAAAAAAAAAAATTCTGTAAGCGAAAACTAATTCAAGTCTTGAAAATAACTAGACGCTCACCTAACATCTAAGAAAAAAAATACTGCAAAAACTGATTGTTTTTTAGTGATTTCGAATAAATAAGAATTTAGAAAAATTGAAATGACAAAAAAAATCGAACGACAATCAAATTGATTCAGGAAATTATGCTCAATATTTTCATTATTTGTCAAACACAATATAAATAATAACTGTGTTGACAGTCACTATGATAAGTTTTCGAACATCTACTTGCAAAAAAAAACTTTATTATCAAATTCTCATGATCTTTTTCTTTTTTTAAATCATTATAAGAGATGAAGAACTTACTGTATCAGTCATTTGACTATGCATAACAAGAATCTCAATACGTTGATCACGAAAGAATTGTTGAAGAAATTTTACTGTTTTTGTTTTATTACAAAATATTAAACAAGGATGTTTCTTTTCTAAATCATATTTGACTAGTTTTAATAGAAGACCTATAATAATAAATACTAAAAAATTAAGAATTATCAAATTTTAATAACGAACCAAGTTTTTGTTGATTACCAATACGATAGAATTTTTGAGGAACATGTGGCATAATACGATGTACAGATGGAGTTAACATTTTATTAATTTGATCAGCCTATGAAGGAAAACAAAACTAAATACAATTGTTTGATAATATTATTTATATCAATACGAACACTAATTAATTCTTTCAGACTTTCTTCAGTCGTTGTAGGTATTGTAGCAGAAACAAAAATAAGTTGAACAGCTGGTGAAGCATTCTGTTCAAGATCATTTATTGGTTGTACATCAATCTATATTGTAATTTCATATATTTTTATTTTATAGTTTTTTTTAAATATATTCATCATTTACTTCTAAACGTCGAATAATTTCAACAACAGCAGGACTAAATGTGATGTCAAGTAGAGTATCAGCTTCATCAACGATTACATGTCGAAGATTACTACCGATTAAACGTCGTTCAATACCAAAATGTTCATCTAGATCGAATAAGAATAGAGGAAAATACAACGATAAAACCAAGATTTACCTTGTCTTAAAAGTCGTAATAGAATACCGGGTGTAGCAATAATAATATCAACTTCACCAAGAGTAAAATTAAGAGGATCCTATCGAAAATAAAAACCATTTGAATATGCAAAAAAAAAAAAACTAACGAGAAAATCACTGCCAACCATTCAGATGCCTTGCACTGATATATTTTTTTTTCAAATTAGAATTTAGTTAGATTAGGAAAAGGTTCACATGTTTCTCTTTCCGAGTTATGGTTATTTTACTAGAATTATCAAAAACTCAAAGTAAAAAATTTCGATGTGAAGTCTATTGGGCTAAAACACTAACTACAGGTACATTATTGAAAATGATCGGACCTATGTTGGACGAAAAAATTTTAAAAGGTAGTCTTTAGCAGTTTTTGAACGACCTTTAAAAACCATCGAGCTTGCTTATGGCTTCGGTTCATAGCAAGTCCGATGTTTTTTGAAGATCTCTTCAAAAATTCATAAAGACCTTCTTTTCAATATTTTTTTTTACTACTAATGGTTCAAAAGAGGGGTGGATACCCTTGAAAGTCACAATCAAAATGAATGGTTGTTTTTCTCGACATAGCTATTTTTCCAGGAAAGTCGATTTTCATTACATGTGGTACTTTGAGGATATTTCTGTAACACTCTTTATCTGGAGAAAAGCATTCGTTTTATTTTTAACATTCAGGTAACTATAAGAGTCATGAAATCTGTATAAGGAAAGTTTCAGATCGAAATTCTGTACTTTGAATTTTCTGTAAATTTCTTAACTTGCAGTAATTTCCTCGTAAAAGAAAATCAGTTACTTTATCTGTATTGATTCCGATTAAACTTCGTGTTCGAACATTTAATTGATTAAATACTTGTAACATGTTCTAAAAAGAAAATTCTCCTTTTAGAAAAAAAGAAAATACATTTCTTATCTTTCTCTCACTTCAATCTGAGTGACTAATTCTCGAGTTGGTGCAAGAATAATTGCAAATGGTGCATTTTCCATTTGTATTAAACGTTTTGATGATTTCCAATGAAGAAGTGATTCAATAAGAGGTACAAGATATGCTAATGTTTTTCCACCACCTTTCCAAAAGAAAAGAAAAAATAAATCTATGTAGAATAATTATAAATTTTCGTTTCTTACCAGTTTCAGCAGCGACAATCATATGATGACCTGTTCGTAATTCTGGTATAACACGTGATTGAGTGGAAGTTGGATTATGAATATTTGCTTTTTTAAGGATTTCTATAAGTTCTGGTTTACAATTAAGTTGTTCAAATGTTTGAACAGTTGATTGAGTCCATGATGGATTTTTAAAATGTTGATCAATAGTAAAAAAGTCACCTTTTGATAATCGATGTTGCCAAGCACCGGAAGCAACATGTTTTTCAGTCATCTGTCGATATTGACGACCTTTAAGAAAAAACAAAAAAGAACATTTTCTATCTATTAAAATGTAATGAATCCAGTTTTTTTCAATGGAATGTGTAAGCAGAATTAAATTAAGAATGATGAACGAATTATTTTCAGTATCAACAAGAAGATTTTAACAATATCTTTCAAAATTTGCGATTTATGTATTTGTTACATATTATAATGTGTAATCTAGTGCATCTAAGATTATTTTACTCTGTGAAAGAATATCTTCAACTTCTTTTTTGCAAAACGTAATCCACAAGGATTGTTGAAGTATATAGAATAGAGATTTGAAGAAAGAATTTCTTTGCCTTTCGGCTGACTTGCGATGTGAAGTATCGCTGAGTATTAGATTCCATAGTTCAATATTTTTCCTATAGTTAATACTCGTTATAATTCTAGACAAAAAGTCAGTTTGGTGTGGAGTTCTTGAGCTCCCTACGATATCCTAGCTCTAGAAATAGATGTACATCTTTTAGTAGCGGCAAATCATGAACGTGACAAATATGTCTTAAACGTGTCTACAGTGTACATTTTTCATACGGCAAATGAACATGCCACTTTCTTACTCTGGAACGTATTTCTTTGCTCAAAAATCATTGAATATGACGTAGAGAAAAACATTTTTCGACGAAAAATGCCTGAGAATGTTACGAGAACCATTCGTTCGTATAACACCATAGGCAAAAAAATTAAACAGTTTTATTTTATCAGATAGTAATTTTCCGGATGACATAACGATTTTCATTTTTAGCCTAATGTCCGTCTAGATGCATAGTATCCCTTCCCCTTTGCAACATAAAATATCACAGACGCTATTGATATTGAATCAAAGATAGTATATGAATAAAGTCCTTTTATACGATATGAACTAGATTCTTGTTACATTTCTTGAGGATTAATTAAAAAGATGATGAACTAGTATTTCACAATTTAATCCTGCATGGATTGTGCTAACAGCTATTCTTACAAGAATTCATAGATTATAAATTACCTGGATAATGATTAAACTCAGTACGTTTACATGCAATTACTGGTGGTTGTGATCGATCCTATAAAAAAGTTTATATATATATATAAGTGATATTCTTACAAATAAACTTACTCCAGGTGGATCTTCTTCTTGTTCTTTTTTATAGATTTTCTTAGCTCGTTGTCGTTCAATATTTTTAATCATTGAATGTGGTACAGTTATTTGATTGTGTGTTTCAATAGGATTCTATTTTATTATTTTAAATCAATTTATTTCAAAAAAAATAAAAATAAAATATTTGTTTTTTTTTTGTTTTTATTAACTTACAATACGATATGATGCTAAATTAATTAAAAATGCTTGATTATGATTTTTTGTTAAAGCAGAAAATAATCGTCGATAACAGACAATCATCTTCAATGTAAATAAATAAAGATTTTAAAGAACATTTGTTTTTTTTATTTTAACAAAAAACAGAAAAAAAAAACGTATCAAATTAACAAAAACAATTCTAAATCATGTTTACGTAATTTTTCTTCAACATTTTCAACAATACGTAATTTAACTTTTTTTACTTGACCAGTATTATAAATACGATAGATTTGAAAATGTTGATTTATATCTGACAATGAACAACAATATTGTAATTCATTATATGTTATTGGTATTAATTGACGATTATTACTTAAAGTACTTTTTACTTCAATATATGTTATTATATTCGTTTTAAGATTTTTTAAAATAAAATCATATGGTTTTCCTTGTTCTAATTTTTCATTAAGCCATACAATTTCAATTTCATTCAATTGAATTTTATCATGATATTTAGCATGAAGATATTCATTAACCCATTGTTCACCTGTAAGATTAATTAGAAATTTTTGATAAATTTAAATAAGAAAAATATATATATTACCCCATCGACCAACTTTTTCCAAAGATTCTTGATCCGAACCAATTGTTG